CTCTTATTGACTCTTTTCCCTCATGCACGGAGGTGAATCAGAGCAACCTCTCTGAAATACAGCATAAAAAGACACAAGTCAATTTCCTGTATTCCCAACCAGAGCTCAGGGCTACTGCTTCACGCTGAGATCAATTTATAACATATGTGTTTGTTATCCTGAACATATTGTGCTAAGAACAGGTTGAGGGACATGGAATGGATTGGATGTGGCATTAATGGACAATTTGCCGTCCAGCAGAGACGCCGGCCACTGTCTCCGCATGCAATATGTCAAAAGTCAACTTGAAGAGCAAGTGTAGAGAGGATGCAAATGTGTGGGAAGGTTCAATCTTGTTTAATTGCATTGTGCATGTGGAGCAGAAACTGATTGTGGACATTGCTCTGTGTGCTTGCATCATGTGCAAATGCATGGGTGTCGTGTGATTAAAGAGATTTCCAAACTTAAGTTGTACTTTTGTAGCTGCTAATCCTCCTGCCTAGGCTGTCTGTACACTGTTTTCCATTCTATATAATCATAAATGACCACATTAAACATACAAAATGACACATTTTTGGAAAATTCTATTTTGAGATAATGCCGTAAAATGATTTTCAGCTATCTGTCAATATTTAGACTCAACTTTAAAGTGTTGTTAAACAGATAACTGTTCTTTACTGGTTGTGTGTTAGCAGTTAAATGTTTTCAGGATTGAATACAACAAATTTCATTTTTCTTCTCCTACCATCAACTCTTGTCTACCCGTTTTAAAAAAAAAATATTTTCAGCATTAAAATAAATGTGATCACTGAAGGGTTAAATGACTTTTTAACAAAAGAAAAAAAACCCATCTCTACTCCTCACCACCTGATGGAGCAAGTTAACAGCTAATTTGACGCTTGTACTAATTGACATTAATACATGTCTATTTGTGTCTGAGTTGCTTGAGTGTTTACTCTGGGAACATGGCCCTGCCATTAGCACTCTGCCATTTTCTTTGACGTGCAACCATAAACAGTGAACATAACACACTACTCTCCAAATTAAAGCACTAATTCACTGTGAAGGCTTTACAGTATGATGAATAACCTCAATTTCAAAGTTGTGTACAATGAATAAAGTAAATGGGCTTTACCCTTTAAAGGCTTTTAATATCATCAGAATAACTTCCTATGAATCGTCCATTCATGAGTATTTTTAATTTAATTGATTTTGCTACATAATGGAATAACATTGATATATTTTTCTTTCAATCTGCTTTTCCCTTTAAGTTTTCCATCTCTAAGTCCAGTCCTCCTTTTTTTTGCCAGTTTTGGTAACATGATTGGATATTGAACCAAAGCTCTGACACAATAGATGAAAATAAACTGAAACAAATTGTCAGTTTTATTTACTTTTAACAAGGCAAAACATCTAGTGACCTCCTGAGTGAACTCTCAGAAAGTGTCACGATAGCTTCGAGGCAGAGGAAACTGGGACATGATGCCTTGTTTCATTTGGCAGCAATCAATGCATGATCACTTATTCTATGTTTTATCTTATTTTTTTATTTTCACATTGTTGGCATTTGGCGCTGAAGTTAGAACTGGAACCTGTAAGATAAAATAATGCAATAAATGCTCTCCTTGTGAAGCTTATTTTGCTCCAACACTTTGTCAGGGATTTGTCAGGTGTTGATTGTGGCCTTTTTGCGTCTTTGGATCGACGACTGTAGACCTCTTCAACCACAACAAGTCAAGTGAACACTTGAGAACATAATGCAAAAACCTTGAACTACAGCCAGGCATTGATTTCAATTTACAACCCTTACACCGTCACACATTCATAACACAACAAGCAGATACTGTACATTCAACATGCTTTAATGTGGAGTCCTCAACATAAGAGTACATTCTGCTGCTCCTCTTTTTTTCTTGATAATATATTGCTTATACAACTTTTACAGTGATCAACGGTTTGTATGCTTCAAATTTAAATAATTTGGTTATAGTGATCAATTGTGCTCCTCTCACAGTGATCATTTTCAGTCTCTTCATACATGTTTGGACTGTTAAAAAGTTCTTTTTACAGCTTTTACCAGCTCTGTTGTTTATTTTCTGCTCCTCGCTTTGTCTCTATCATTCACGCTGTGCACTGCCAACCAAAATCGAACCAATAATAATAAGCATTTAACTAGAACATTGAATGATGGTCACGAATGTTGTTAACTGAAATATTGGTGGGTTGCTGTTTCTTTAGTTGCTTTGATTAAGTTCAAGATAAAGTTTACGGTTACAACTTCTAACGAGCAGTAATTTGCAAAGTCCATTAACTCTTTTGCTATTGACTGTCACAAGACTGTGGTTGTAAGTAGACGTAAAGTAAAAGTCAGACGATTTAAAACTTAACGATTTTCGACAGCCTTTTTTTTTTTTAAATTGTATTCTCTGTTATCCATCAGATTCTTAACATTCTCTAAGAAGTGTCAAAATCGCTGCCAGGAACATGGCTGTCGTCTTTCACTTAAGTTTTATTTCTGAAACACCAAAAGGTTGTTCAGTGTTAGAGGCATCTACAAATGAGGGATTTTTGACAGAGGAGAGGTTTCTTTTTCTCACTTTAATCCTGGATTGTCGTACATCTTCAGATTCTGATCTGTTTATCCCCTGCAGCTAGTTCTCATCGCAGCAGCCAGACTTTTGTCAAGAATTAAAAAGCTGAGGCCAAATGACTTGCATTTTCACAGCGCTTCATAGGGTTTCATTTTGTCTCGATATTGATTGTGAACTATTATTCGTCACTTTAAAGGAAACATCGAGCCTAGTAACTATCTTGGGTTTTACTGCGTATCCATATGACCTCTGATTGTAGATAAACCCATGCTGCCTGCTTGAAAATGCAGTCAATAGAGGGTTGAGTATCACTAACACGGTCCCTTTACCACCAAATGATTTGAGCTGAATGGATGGAAACAGAAAAAAAAAATCTGCTTACAACCCACAAGCTCAGTCATTAAGCTCTATCATGATCGGGCAAAATTTCGGCCTCAGGTCACTTGATTTCACACAGTTGGCATTCCCCCCCCATTTATTCACTTATTATTTGCCATGTGCTCTAAGTGTTTTAAAAAAAGGTCACTCAGAGTACTCTGCAGCTACTCTCCAACAGATTGAGTCTTAAAAATATTCGCAGTAAAAGACTTTCAGGGCCATCCATCAGTCTGGATGATGCCAAAATCTCTGACTCTTGTGACTCTCCCAGATAATGACTTGTCTAACGGTCAAGCTGGGCCTATAAATGGGAAAATAATTCTTGAGTGGGAACGGCCTCCGAGATCTCACCTGCTGGGAACATAGGGGGCTTTTTAAATGGATTTGAAAACAGACATCGGAACAGAGGAGCACACACAGTTGTGAGCAAAGGCGATGGTTGTTTTCTTGCAGAAGGGGGTCATGTGATAGGAGCCAGACCAATCAGTGAAGGTTAAGTCATGACTATAAGAAGATGACACCAGTGTTGACTCAGTTGATGTGCTGGCAAATGAGTTGGTGTTGTGGTTTTTGTGTCACACCTGTCTGTGTGGAAAATGAGTCCACTGATCACACTCTGTTCACCAGTCCAAGAACCAAATGTGATTTCCAAAATCCATGTAATATTAACCTTGTGCAACATGTCCCCTGACAACACGAAAGTCCTCATGATTAGAACAAGTCGAGTCAAAGAGTCTGATTGCCGGATGGAATTTTATTCAAGCTTTAAGAAAGTGAAGTCACCTGTTAGTGTGTCGCTGAGATGAGGCAAGTAACTGAATGTTGGATCTCTCATTGTATTTTAGCTTTAGTCTCAGATTGCCAAGAATTCACTTCAGTCCTTTTTATTCACAGCTGCTTCCTGTGAATAGGCTGTGGAGAAGATGTGATGTACATTTAAATATAAGGTTTTCATCTGACAGCAAAAAAAATGGTCCAAATTTAGCTTTGGCTGCTTAGAAACTTGGAGCAATAGAACAGCTCTTTGAATCTAATGGCTCATGAGTCCAGATTTCAAGGTGTTGTTTTTCACACACCATGTTCTCGCTGCAGTCCACATAGTGCTGATGTCAAGCTTAAAAAGCACAAAAGAAAAGTGTTCCTCTGCCTCTGCACAGTCTGTGTGGGCTGTGCTGGCTGAAGTCAAAAGAGATACAATTGTACCTGTGGCCGCAAGTCTGAAAAAAGCAGCAGCATCTGTCGGGGTAGGCTGTTATTTGTTTTTCCACAACTTTTCCAGTTTTCTTTTCACTTGGACATGTCTCCACCTGCTAAAAGAAAGACATAGCCCTGGATCGAAAAAGCCCAAATGCCTGCTGTGACCGTACAGGGCTGTCGAATGTTTGTCCCTGCCTGGTGTCCCTCAGCTGTCTGGTCCGTCCGTATCCACCTGCTTAACAAGCACATATCTGTTTACCCCTCATTTCATCAACAGGGAGAGGAATTGGGGAAAGTAAGGGCAGAAGGAACCAAGCTAGCTCGTCTCTCCAACTCTCACTCAGCAGCCTTGTTAGGCAATTCATCTGTGATTATTTCTCTTATTTCGTTTTTTTTTTGGGTGTGTGTGAAATTGATTGAGATGCAAACACACAAGGGTCCGACCCAGTAATCGTGCCAGCTTGAACTTTGATTCACATGAATAAGTCACTCAGTGAACTTTTCTCTACTTGAGTTCCCCTGAGCCAATAAAAGCAGCAAGGGTTGCAAAAGGAGCTTGTTACTCTTTCCAGTAGCTTGGTTGGCAAAGAATATTTTACTATTTGTCCCCGATAATGATGGGAGTAGTGAGACGGTAATAAGAGAGTTAAAGTTGGAGGACCAGTGGGTGTACTTAAGCTGTGTGATAAAGTAAGAATACTACAATGTGGAATAAATTCCAAATTTTAAACAACCAATTAATTTTTTTGGTAAGGGAGCGACTCTTTTCTGCAGGACAACTATCTAATAATAATCCACATCATGTTCATCTATGCAGCTTGTAAATTATTTCATTTTTCTGCCTTTCCTATTTAGAATTGGAAATCACCTGCATCATTCCCACAGACATGGTAAATAATCCACCAATGTTGAGCCCCTGAGAGACTTAAGCAGGTAAATAAACTATTTTCTGCTTTCGGTGTAACTTTTTTAGGACTTTGCTTTACTCACCGTATGCTCATCCAGCTCCTCAGTTTGTGGCCCTTGGCACATTTCCTCTTTTCAGGTTCAGGTTCTGTTCCCATTATCATTATTTCTTCCTTAAGGTATGCAAGAAGCAAATTGCAAAGTAGTGCTGTTGTGAATGTGCACCTTGTTTTTCATCAGAGTGGCGAGACTAATACAGCGTTTACTGACCCGGGAACAGCAGGTGTATTCACCACATTGGCACCTTCAAGCAGCAGCACTTCATTAGTCAAAGCAATTACTTCTGGGCAGTCGGGGTTTCACCTGGTTTCCATGAGTGTGAGAAACTGAGAGTACGGACCTGCACCTCATGAACAAGTCACAGTGACCTTTGAGGGATTATGAGGGACAGACAACTTTTCTCTTGTAGTTTTAAAAGTTAGGAGGACAAGAGAGTTTGATCGCTATCACTATAAAATAAGTCAAAAAGATCGGATGTATTTCACAAGTTCAAAATGGTAAATGATGTTCAGATACTGATACCAGCTTTAGAAACGCCTGAAAAATAACTCGACAGACATTATTGAGTACGAAAATCTGTACTGATTCAATATCACATCTTTAAAATTAATTAGTTTCACCCTGATTCAACTACAATTGTTTTTAACCCGGAATCTCACTTCTTTTCTTTGCCAAAAAATATCGCTGAACTGCCTCTGGCAAGTACTATTTCTAGAGTTCAGCCTGAAACTTGGGAAACCAAATTAATTATTGTGATTATTTCGATCATCCCCAAAGCAGGAGAGGAAACCAATAATGTTGTCAAGTTATTTGTACTGGACATCCGACCCTGTTGCCGGTAAATAGAATATTTAGACTCAATGTCCATTTATTGGAATCAGTCTTGAGAAGAAAAAAGGATATCTCAAGTTTTTATTTTTCATAAATGTGTTTTTTATATTATTTACAGAAATATGAATATGTATATATTTATGCAAAGATTCTAATTCATCCGGGCAATGGTATCTTCGGGACTTGTACATGTGTACATAGGCATCTGGTCTTTCTTGAACACATTTCACCTCTCATCCAATGAGAATTGAAACTGTATTAGCTTATCTCTGGCTTCAGTCTGTGTTTTGTTGACATACTTCCTCATGATGCAGAAATATTATCCAGTGTGATGCTTCCCTGTTTATTTCCTGTCCACATCCTCAGTAAACACCCAACTCATCTACATACTTATATCCTCCCAGTGCATCTGCTATTATTCTTTATCACCTTGCATAATAAACTCTTAGGCCCCTTGTTACCACATTATATAGTTGCTATAAAACCCTACAGTCAATGCACTTAGCCCCCCCATCCCCATGTGACGCATTCAGTTGAATCATCAACAACATCATCAACATTTTCTGCTCGGCTCCATCTCACAGTAAATAAATGCAGTTCCCTTGATCCCATCTGGTCTCTCACCTCTCTAATTGATTCTTTACATTTATAAAAAAAAAAAAAAAAAGATTAATTTTAGGACTAATTAACTCATGAATAATTTGCGCTAAGTCAACAGGTGTCTAAATTTCAAAGTTGCAGCGAGACACCTGGCGAGAGAAACCCACATAGACAACGAATGCAAATACAAGGCAGTCGAAGTGCAGGGCAAAGGCCCCTGTTTGTCCTCTTCCCCTCGTCAGGTGACAGGAGCACGGGGAGCAGACGTATGTGCTCTGCTGCAGGAATCAACGCACGGCAACATGCTGTGTTATGTACACCACCTGTGTGCTTCCTGACTGTGGTATTACTGTGGCTACAGTTGCCAGGTCGGGCTCAGCAGCCGTCATTTGCATATTTTATGACTCCAGGTAAAAGGCGATGGGGAGTGTGAGAGGTAGGCAAGGGAGCGTGAGAGAGGGAGAGACATGGTAAAAGTGCAGGAGTCATAAGGCCCAGCAGCTCAAACTGGTCATATCCATCTTCAGGCTCTGAGATGTGCTGATGGGCGAGAGGCAAACAGCTCGGAGGTAGGTTGTTTTTGAGTGTTTGCTTCCTCTGACAGGACACATGTTTTGTAGCAAAGTCTCCCGTGATGCTGTCTTTCTTCTGTTGTTGTTATTGTAGCTTGCACTCTACTCCCGAGGCTAGATCAGGCCCAGGCCTGGGCAGCCGCACACTTGTCTCAGTTTCCCTCCACTTGTCTTGTCTGGAGCAGATCAAATGGAGTGCCCTGAGAACTGCTTATCGGATTTGAAAGCATTTAATAAACTGGTCTTCAGGCAGGTCGCTTTTAAAGTGGTGGGAAAAAAGGAGCCGAGAAAGGAAATAAAGGATTTCAGAGGATACCTTTGTGTTTGGTTATAGCCATCGACCAAATGTCAGGGATTTTAAACTTACTAATTTTCTAACGTCTTTTTGCTGAGTCATATGGGGAGAGGAGACAGTGACCTTTTGCCCAAGCTGAGCAATCTTACTCTATGCTAATGATTTACACAGATGTACTCCTCTGCTCGTAAAGAGACAGTGCACCTTTGTACTGTATGTGCATAATAAATTCCTCCTGAATGACATGTGCTAATCACTCATTAAGCGCTGTCACTTACCCTGTAATTTTTTTTAGTGATCACTTTTATTTGTTCCTAATGAATGGCTAATTGGCTGTTGGGAGTGATTGACAGGTTGGCCAAGGAAGTGCAATTACCAGAGCTTAGAAATATTACTTATCTTCAACTAATTACCTGTATTGACTTACTTAATATCAGTGATTGGATTTAGAAAGACTCATATAAGGCGCTGTGATGAACAGGGGTGTTTAGTGGAGGTTTAGGGGAATAAACGCTCAGATTTTTAAAGAAAGTTAAAAGCAGATTCAGTTACCTTATTATTTGTACTGCTTGAATTTAGTAGGTACACACTTTCAATCAGTGCAGACTTATGTCTTTCACTCCAACACAAGGACACAAACAACTTTTAAAAAAGGCTGTGGAAAGGAAGCTTTAGGGTCTGAATAAAAAAACCCAGATGTTTTTTAAATGCTCTGTTTAAAACATGTTTAAAAAGCAAGTAATCAAACAAATTCGAAGAAAAGCACGAAACTAAAAAGAAAAATTTGTGCCCAAATGACCAACATTGAGCAATGTATTTATGGTCAAGCAGAGTTAACAAGTCAGAAGTTTTCTAACACCATAGTGTGGCCAAATTATCCTCTCAAGTACACCATCATTAAATGAGTTATTAAGGGCTGTGCACTTTTCTAGCAATTATTTTATATAAAAACTTTTTTCTGACCTCACATCAGGCTGATTTGTGTCTTTGTGTAAAAGCCATAATGTCAGGTTGAGGCCTGTTTGTCTGATGTGTTGCCATTGATGAGCTATGAAATGAACTTAACTTTAAAGCCAAGTTCTGTGTTCCAGTAGGACTCTGCTGAGAATGTGTTGAGACGGCCTGAAATATAATCCCAATTCATCTTTGAGTCAATTAAACTCTTCACAGTAAATCGTTTGTGTTGCATGTGAGTGTGCACAGTGTCCCTCTGCACAACTTGCATGAATACAAATCAGTTGTAAGATGCTGACCTTAATTGCAATGAGCTCAACAATTAACATAAATCCAGAGTCTTATGCAGAGGTCTGTAGTTTTTCCTGCTGAATCACAACAAACAAGATCTGTCTGTAACTAAACTATGTAACATGTTATCATGTGCAGTCGACAAAATGTCACACACATACAACAGTTGATAATACTGGAAGCTTTTGTTTACAGCACTGACAACTTAATAGCAAGTTAGACAGATGACATTTATGACACGATCCCTCATTTGAAGTCACATCCTGTACTCAGCCAAATGTTAACTTGCTTTTCCCTGTTTTGCAGCAGTTTACTTTGTGCTTGATCTACAGACAAGGTGACCATCTTTAAACGACTTTACTGCGCTCCACCTTGTTTCCATCATCTGGAAGATTGTTGCAAACTCCGGTTGATGCTGGACAGTATTTAGTTAAAAGCACAGTTATCAAACATTTTGTTGATATTATTATTATTTTTATTATTATAAAATGGCAACAATTAATAAAATGTTAAGATTAAACTTTTATGACAAGGCAATGAAATTGAGGCTTGATATTTTAAACTAGTATAGGAGACCACAAACGCTACCAGATACATAGAGCTTGAATTAAGGAATTGAGGAATAGGGTTAAAATTAGTCGTATTTAATAATTTTGCTGGGAAGTCAGCATTCATTTGTTCCTGTGTAATCATCCTTCCATCTGGATGGTACAGAATTTATATGAAATGAATTGAGTTTTGAATTGAATGGAAAAAGAAAACATTGTTGAAATACCTGATGGAAACATAATGGCACCTTGATGCTGTGATGATGCCAAACACAGTAACCGGTAGAAGGGCTTGGTGAATAAATGTGCAGCTTCTCATTCTACACGACAGAAGAAGGCTGTGCGTATAGCCTCGGTTTTTAAACGAGTGTGGCGCAACATACTCAGCATATGAATGGACAGAGGATAGATTTGTGGAGAGTTTAGAAAAGTTTCTATGGACTTTCTTCCTTCATTTGCCATGAAACTGGGTCAGCGTTAGAACCATTGTAACCTCTGTGAATTGAACTCGCAGTCCTCTGTGAAGGCGCATGCAGGTATAGCTCTAAACTTTTCAAAGCACTGAGAGGCTTTGTAGTCTGTCGGGCTGAGTTATTCAAAAGGTTTCAGTGGAGTGTAGTCTTAATTGCTGCTGTGCTGTGCAACCATTTGATACTGTTACACTTTCTGTTACACAGTATATATTCTCTTTACATGATTGTTCCCTATTTTATATATTTCCTTCTTCACTGTACACAGGTCAAACAAAATTGCAGTTCACATACATTATAAATAGTCTTAACTTATATAGCGTTGTTGTTGGAAAAAGTGCTATTCAACCATTCACATACACTTTCATACAGTGCATCTACAGTATGTGCTGCTCTTTCATCATCATACGTCACTCATACACTGTCGTGTGGGACATTTGAGGTTCACTGTCTTGCCCAAGGACACTGCAGCATGCAGAAAGTGGGAGACAGGGATCAATCCGCCAACCCTCTGGTTAGTGGTGTATAGTGAACATTATTAATTCCCTTCCATTTCCTTTGGCGTGTGTCAATAATGACTTTCTAATTTCACCCCCAACCACAGTCATCAGTTCCTTTTTTCTCTATAATGACAGGCTCTAATTGAAGATTCTTCTATTCTCTTAATACTTCCATTTTTAGATCATCAGTTTAATTCTCTGTTCACTAAACATTTGAATGAACTGAAGCAGCAGGATCAAGGTCACGCTGGTGCTCAGATTATACTGCAATTAAACCACAGGTACGAATCATGTTGGTGACAAAACAACACAAAAAAACTACTATTTTAAGAAAAATGGCGACCTGAATAACATCCAGTAAGGAAAGTATTAAGGTTCATCAGAATGTATTACCTGTAATCAAAACATATATCATAAATATCTCTTTTCCAAAGAGTACACTATAAATCCCTGCTGCAGTAAACTTCCAGGGAAGATCATGATAGACATAGTTAGAAATTGTCAAAGAATACATTGAATGTCTGAGCACAGGGACCATTATACCCTTCACTGCGCTCTAGCCTGCCCCTTGTAACTGATGTTGCAGCCATTCTCTGCCGTCCTGCACTCATGCTGCATGACAAATATCTGTTTACTCGTTCTATCATCCTAGTGGTTGAAATAATGCACTTTGCTCTCCTGAGTCCCCGAACACCAGGCATGCATCAGCACTTATATCCTCACAGCAGTCTGCTTTCCCTTTCTTTGTATATCTCCATGTTCTCGCCTTTCCTCCCTCTCTCGCTCCCTTTATTTGGAACTAATGATACCATGAAGAGCTGATGACAGCGACTGATGGTGACAGCCTTGTGAAAAACAAGTCCAGAAAAGTTGCAACAAGGAACTTCTTTTAGTTTATGTCTGTCCGTGCCCCTCGCCGTAGATTAAAATGATGACCCGGGAAACACTCCTCACACTGTGTGCTGTTTTGTTCTCTGGAGAACTCTGTTCTTTGTGCAGCGGCAATCCAAATCATAATCATACCCGCTCTTGTTACTTTTTATCTGTTCTATAGATGTGGAATTGAAAATGAGTCTTTGAGCTGGGCTTTCCCACAACACTCATCCCACCCACACACACGGACACTATCAAAATCTCTTTTCTTCTCGGCGAAGACTACTCACACAGTATATTCTTAGTGATGTTGTTTACCCTTCACGCCTGACATGACTCTAGAGTGGAGGTGGTACCGAGCTGTCCTTCTCCTGCGCATTACATGTTTCAAAAGACGGGCCTTGAAAGCAGTGCGAGCGAAAGCAGCACATACTCAATTATACAAGGATTTGATGGAGTTGAGTGTTCATGCGTGTGTCAGGTTTCAATGTAAACACTTGGTCCATTTTAGTCTTGCACAGTTCCACAACGACTATGTTTCTCAAAGATGTACAAAATAAGTAGTAGCCTGGATGCATAGCACATAAAGTGCAGTGCTCTACACAAAGAACAGGGATTTCTGGGAAACATGGCTTGTGTGATAGCCTGACAACAGCAGTAAATATAGACTAGCTGCATTGCATCAATGGCAATGGTATGAAATTAATTATAAATTCAGAGCAGCTGTCCACTGCAACATTACAAATTGGTATTGCCAAGGATACAAAATGTTTGTCAGCAAAGTCTATGGTTACCCTGTTAACGCTTCATCGATATACTGGACAAGATTACTCAATGGCCTCAAACACTCGTCTTTACCCCATTAGAGAGCTTATTTGGCCATTTTCAAAGTGAGGGGAGCCTCCACTTCCCCTGTGACAATAAATAAAACATCCATGAAGTCACAGTAAATAATGTAAACACACAGAGGGGAGATGGAACCTGTGCAGAAAGAGGAAATGGAGCGTTAAAAGGTGCCACATTTGTCAGGACTACCCTTGGGTTAAAATAACCCATCCCCAGCTCCCTCTGTGTAGTGCACAAGAGCTCTGCAGCACATTGGGAACACGGCAAGAAAACACAGCTTAGCCATTGAACAACTGATTCTTGACGTCCATTTGTACCCAGAATCCAGTAATTAGTCTCAATAGAGTCAGTGTATTGTATGAGTTGTACAGTTTGTGTGTGTGTACATTTCTTTATGCATATCTCAGTGTGTAATACAGTTTGTTATATATGTGTATATGAGTTTTGCAGTTTAAAGTGTCAGTTTAAACACTGTAAACTGGTTGAACTCTCTTATGTTTAATTAGATTTGAACACTAACGTGTGTAGTGATGATGAATGGGATCTCAAGGGCAGGCTAATCAATCAAATGTAGTCGAGGAGTCTTAAATGAAGCTGATAGTGTGTGTCTGTTTGTTTATTATGTGTGTAATCAGGGCGCAGTGGCTAATAAAACCTGTGGTAAATGTTTTACAGCAAACTTGCATCAACATGAAAAGTGAAGATGTTTCCGATGTATAATGTTTTTTATTTGTTATTTTAAGATTTGTTAATTGGTATTTTGTTGCATGGTGGGGGTTAATTAGACAAAGTTGAAATCACCTCGTCCCCTTTAAAGAGGCAGAAGAAGGTGGTTTTGTTTTTGACCTAATAGTTTTATAGTGGGTACATTAAGTAACCCAACCACCTGGTGTGAAATAATGATTCTCTGACTGAAGATCCAAACTGTGTAACCTCCTCGGCTGAGACACAGCCCCTGTCCTGAGTGTGGGTGTTAATAATTCTTAGAACAGGTGCTGCACCCCGAAGGCCCGGGGAAGTAAATGATTAGTGGCACTCCCCCAAGATGCATTGCTCCTCTGTATTAAAACCAAACTCTACCTTTTATTCCCTCCAGGGTTTATTAAGTGGGCCAGTTGCCATAGCAACGCTTTGGCAAGCTATTGCCAGGATAAGCCATAATGGGTCTCCTGACGCAGTTCACTCTGCTCCTGTGGAAGAACTTCACTCTGCGGAAGAGACAAAAGGTACACTTGTAGTCGCCAACCGCCTCTTTCAAATCAACATATATCTGCAAAAATTGGTCAGCGATGGAGGGAAAATGAGGACATGGTCCCAGGGTTGTGTTATCAAGGACAACTAAGTTATTCAAGGGAGGGAAAGTTAATAGGGGGGATTTACCACCAAAATTGTCTCCTATAGAGGTGAGTCGCCTTTAATGCTCCCACTAGAGAACAAGAACAATCTTACCTTAATGCCGACCAATTCAAAGTGTCACCTTCAGTTTCTGGAGATGTATCTCCTCTGCACGTTATGTCACATTGTCTAACAAAGCCAGTCTTGGGCCTAATGGAAGGGGATGGGGAGTGATGAATGTTAAGTGCTTTGTTTGAAGGGCAAACACTTTCCTAGCTCTTCTTACAAAGTGTCACAACCTGTGTTCCACAAGGCCATCCAAAGTTGTCATGTCATTTTGGTTTAACAAATAGTTACTGATCAAGTTAAAAATAAATAAATTATACATTTTACAGTTAAATTATCTGTAAAGGTTTTAAAGGTTACATGAATTTGATGTGTTAACTGGCACGAGAGGTTGCATGTGAGCACCAGAATCTCTGACCAAAATGAAAGTGGCCCCTAAACACACAACAGAAACACAACTGAATATCGCCAGTGTACCAAAATGTCTGCACTTGCATTGTCATGATATGTTCCACAGCAGTTCTGGAAGTAAGCTGAATAGCGATAGAACATTTATATAAAAAAGAAACTTTAATACACTGGCCACCTAAACAATGAACAGAACAGCTCAGATCACAACACACAAAGGACACCACTACTCCACTGTATGTTTACGTAGAAAAGTTGAACTTCTCTCTTTACTTAAACTAAATGATAGTTGAACTATTGTAGGTGTAATTCAGCTGCTTACCTTCAATAACATTACACTTCAGAAGCCACTTCAAACCCTTTCAGAGCTTGACAACCTGCTGTTTTCAGTATAGCAGAGCACACATCAGCAGAAGTTTAGCTTTTCCCAGTTTTTACAGAGTAGGTAAATCTAACAATTAGTTAACTCTTAACCAGGAGATGGTTATCGGTGGTTTTAATTTATTGCTATCACGTAAAATTAGAGCAATATTTAAATATAAACCCATATTTTGGGAGTAAAGTCTTAATATTGCAAGAAAAAAGTCAGAATTTAAAAAGAATGATATTGAAATTCCACTCCTTCTGGATCAAATATCGTGATTACCAATCTCACACTTGAGAAATTATGAAACCCCTTGAAAAGCACTCAGTAATGAACAACTGACAGCCAATTAAGAGCCAAAAACTACACAATATTTCCTCTTCCATAAAAGAGGCAATTCCCTACTAGTCTGTTTGGTATTATCTTGCACAATCTCTTTAAAGACCTGATGCTTATGATAAAGTGGCACAAATGGACTTAAAGATGACATATTTTGTTGTTTTATATTATAATATATTACTTCTGAAGAAGCTCCACATCTTAGTGCAGACAATAGTCTGATATCCTGATTCTGAAATGACAGATACATTTAGACTTTTTTCTTTTAATATTCTGACTTTATTCTCCAAATCTCCATTTTCTTTTTTCTTCTTCTCGTTTGAGTGGCCCTGTCTTCAAAATGTTTTACTCTGCTGTTGAGTCTTTAGTCTATTTCCCTCTACAGGGCCACTTGTCTTTACCCTAGTTATTACTTCCTCATCTTCGTCAAACACACTCATCTACACGTTATCAGCCGGTGATGTATGGTGGGTATTATTGCCTCTGATGTCACCCACACTTACCAAGAGGTCACCTGCTGCATGAAGATTACAATTACGCCATATTTCACAACTGCATTTCAAGGGTCAGAAGAAGTTGTCAAGGTATCCAGAGTGCCTTATGAGTTATTTTTTTCTTCAGGCAGATATAACTGATACAAAGAGCTGCATTGTGTTCTTTGATTTATACCCTTGCAGTGATGATGGGAGTCACATCCACCCACTTGTTTTGTTAGGGGTTCAAGCACAGCAGTGTGCCCGTTGCCGGGGTAGAACAAAAGACAACTTCACAAAAAGAATCAGCTTTCATCAAAGTTCACACTTTCTTGAGATAAGTCAAGGCAAAGTCATTTACAATTTTTATAACTTTATATGTGGGAATTATTTCACTTGTTAATTTTATCCACTGGCAGAATGAAGAAGATGGTACACTTTGGTATCAGTAAGAAATATTCTCCTACTTTCAACCCAGTATGAGTTAGAGGACAGTGGTGGTTTTGTGCGTCGACAGTTGGATATTTGGCCAACGTCAACATGAAATATTGTTATTAGACAAAACCAGTGGGAGTTAGCAAGGACAATGGTGCTTGTGGAGGGCTTGTGGAGGTTAATGACCAATTATATGAATGCCTCACCAAGCATTTTAAGATTTTATAACAGGCATGAAACTGATTTTATGGTCCAGTATTTCATATAATTTCATAGGAGGGGATTATCTATTCACAAAGACGCTGGTGTCTCATGGCAAATGCCTGGGGAGCCAGACATTGAGAAAGTCCCCATGATCTCTGTGTTCCCCTGCTATGCTTTTTCTTTGGAATACATTATGATAATTCCCCCTCTCAGCAGAACTACATCCTCTGTGACATACGGACTGGATGGAATTAAGGGACTGAATTTGAAATTCAACCCGGGTTTGCTTTGAAATGTACTGTATGCATTTTCCTATTAACTTCTCCTCTGTAACTCACTGAGAAAATTTTACAACATGATTTACAATGTGACTATATACCCAACTGAATAACGCTGTTCAACCCCCTTCTCCTACCTATTTTACTGAAGGAACTTTAATTTAGATTTTGTGGTTTTCATGGTGCTGTGCCATAACTACCACCATATATCATAATTTTTCTTTCGTCACCTCTGCCTGCCATCCAGTATAATTATGAAGACAACAAACCCTGTACAGGTCTTTTCTTACTCGTTGGGCTAAAGTGTGTCACCGGATACAGTGTCTGAACACGTTACGGGAGCAGGAGATCGTCTGAATGGAGCTTTCCAGCTGATTCCTCTTAGCAGGTCACTCCACCAGAGATGTTGAGAGGGATGAGCATGCAGGCAGGTCAACTGAGGTATGCAGAGAGGGTGAGTGAAGGGCTGGGGGGGGGGTGTTTGGCGACGGAGTACCAAGGGATGCATAACAGCCTAGATGGTGGAGTGCGTGGGGTGAAGAGTCAAGGAAGGATGAACTGCAGCTTTGTAATATCTCACTGGAAAACATTCCCCCTGATGGATATTACTTCTTGCTGAAAACAGTTTGATTAACTTAACACTGTGGTTATAGAATAAAGCATAGGGGAGCTTGGTAAATATGGAAACTTGATATAAAGTGTTTACATCACAATTCAAGCTTCATCCACCTACATGCTTATATTTTACCACTGTTCTAAAAGCAGTAAATTCAATGTTATTTGTATGTAGACATCCAGGTCAGAAACTCTGGGATGACTGGGAAGTGATGAGGAGATAAATAATGTGGGATAGCTTCTGCTCATGGTGTCACAAGCACATGTTCCTCTCTCAGTCCTGTCAGTGCTCTCAGAATGATAGCAACACTTGGAATGCCCTCTCTATCTCTGTTTCTATCTTTCACTTCTTTATTTCTCTTACAAACAAATTGACTCGTCTGTCACGGTCTGACTTACCATCGGAAGCACTGTGAGAAATCCTGCTGCGTTTGTGGGCTGTCAAAACATCTGTAGACATCTGTCCTCAGCGGGCACAGGGAACTCCTCACACCTGATACTGAGCATGTTCACTGCAAAGACACAACGATCACATGACGCTCAAACAATGCAAATGATGGGAACCACTATGTGTCACGACGATGTATTTTACAACTGAACTATGAAAACTGCTCCACTTTTATCTGTGCAGGTGCGACTGGTCGTTGAACTGATATGGCCTCTGTTTCTCTTCCTAATACTGGTCTGGGTGCGGACCACCAATAAGCCAATTTACAAAAGCCAATGTAAGTGGAAGCCCAGTCATTTAAACATTCAGACCACAGTTTTTACTTCCAAGGACATGAAAATGTAAAAAATAATTCAGATCACAGCATCTATTTTTTTAGCACAACATTGAGTTTTCCCCCGTAGAAGAGTGGATGGATAAATATTCCTCTATTCCTTTAGGTCACTATCCAAATAAAGCCATGCCATCAGCCGGCCTGCTGCCGTGGCTTCAAGGTATGATCTGCAACATCAACAACCCCTGTTTGAACTACCCGACGCCTGGGGAGACTCCAGGCCAAGTCAACAACTTCAACAACTCCATGTATGTGCTGGGATGTTCCCTTTTCCACCTTTAGGATGAACACAATCTGTTTTGTTTTCATATAACATCAAACACAGAACATTTACACATGATCTTTTTTTGTCTTTCAGAATATCTGGTGTGTTGATAGAGCTGCAAAGCCTCCTGGAGAACAGATCTATTCTCAGGAAGGCACAGTTGCTGGCAGACGACATCGACCAGTGGTCTTCAGTCCTGTCACAGTCGAACCCTGGGAACGGTAAGAGAATTTAAACATCAAATTCTTGATAGGAGCTTGTTTTAAGGTCACTATAGCCGCTTTTCCACTGCTCAGAAAACCTCAAACCACAAAAATAATCAGCTTTCATCAGAGTTCACATACGGATTCAATCGACATTCACTCCTGGGTCAAATGACTCTGCAGGAGGCACAGGATTTTAACATTGCACCTGAGTCAATGTGCTACTTTGGCAAGACTCTGCATTCAGTTCATTTGTGACATCAAGCATGATGCACAAAAAAATACAGAAAGGCAAACTCTTCTACAGGTGTTGGGAAACATGTGAGTCACCTTTTTAGGTGGTTTTGCTTGCGTTTAAAAAACCTGTGTGTACCCACTTACTTTGGTGTAAAATAGGAATAACAAACTAATTAAACCCAGCAGCTGGGTCAAAGTGTAGATTCTTTTTTTGATAAAATAAGTAAAATTTCTTCTTAGTAATTGTAACAATTGTTTTTTTTATAGTAAATGCTCAGGCTTATTCTGTTTTGTCTTTGTTAAGTACTACTCTATCAAGGAAAGTATCCCCTTCACGCAGATGACAAGTTGGCGGATTTGTTATTCCCATTTATCCCTCAAAAACAATGGCGCGTGATTATTTATGATGCAATTTCCCATGCAGACTGACAGATCGTTTGTCTTGATAAGTTGCTGCTTTGCATTAGGCTCATTTAGCCTGATGATATTCAGATTTTCATACGGCACCTAATTTGCAAAAAGGCAGGGGGTGGGGTGCATTTGCATTTTGGGGTCGTGGGCTTGTAATATACAAGATTAAATCCATCAAAGATCTAAGCTTGGTCATAATTAATGGGATTCGCTATCTGAGGCGAGAGCACAAAAGGTCATTAACAAGAATGGGGAGTGAAGTACTATCAAAAGAGCAGGATGGCAAAGGTGATTGTGTTGTCCTCTTTGTTTTTACCGAGGGTTGATTAAAAGACTCAGGTGGTCACTTCAATCAGAAAGGCAGCAGTGTTCAGACAGAGCTCGGAGCATGTTCTACCACCCTGTAATCTAACCCCGACCATCCCTCCTGGCGCTCCTCCACTGATGAGGGGCATCATGGGTGCTTGGTAGGAATCATGTGGTGCTGTATAGAGTCTGAGCAGTAAATGAAATGGCATACTTCATTCCAGATAATATTGAATGATTGTTACATTTTAATATCATCGACCTCCAGAGCGGGCGAGCCCCTGACCCCCCGCCGTTGTAGACCTACGAATGCATTTAGACTTGTGCATGCGTCAGTTCCAGACCCACTCAGAGAAGGAAACTTGGCATTTAGTATTTTTATCGATATCATCTAACTTCAGCACTATTTGAAAGACAAATAAATACACTGGTGGTATAGCAGTGAACAGCTTTAAGAAGCTCTGTATATCTCCAAACAAAAGCTCTTCAGGTGAAGTATATATATATCGATTATTTTAATAAAGTTGGCAGCCTGGAGTTCTGTTCTCCTCGTCTTCTGCATAGGTCAAAAACGGTGGTTTCATGACTCGCGCATGCATATGTACAGAACGGTGGGGGCCCTCCAGCTCTGCAGGAGGATGTCTCATTTTTTCAGCAAACATTTATCGTAATTGAACCTTGAATAACCCGATTTAAATCATCTCCTTCTCTCATCCTGATAATTAACTGACTTCCATGTATTACACTTGCAAAAAAGGCATAATCTAATTAAATTGTGTAACTCCTTCAGCACATTGTGGATTCTCAGAAAGAAGAAAACACGTTTGAACAGAGATGTTATTCTAAACCAATGAGGGTGGAACAACGGATAGATGGTTTTACAAATCCTGACAATCTGTGGGCAGCTAATCAGGAGAAAACCACTGGCTAACAATCTGCTTCATGTAAAGCAACAAATGATCTCACTTTACACACTGATTCAGCTAAAGTGCACCACTCATACTTGTACCAGAGAACGATTTAATGGCTACTGTCATTTATAAAGCATTAAGTTAAGCTGAAATTTATCAGAGCATAATGCCACTCAAAGCAGCGTGAATAACCAAACCAAATCAGAACTCTGCCCTTTTGATTTTACATTTGTTCTATCACGTGGACACATGAAACAAAAAGGAACCTTTTTATCCATTTTAGATCTGTTTTTCAATAATGTGGCACTTTGTTTTAATCAATCCAGAGAAAATTATCCCCTGCCTCCTAAACTTGTCCCTTCACCAGCAGAATAAATCCTGTAGTGCTTTGCTGAGATCAGTCGTCAGCTGTTTTCAGACAGAAAATCTATCAGGAAAATTGGGTCCAGACTTTTTCCATATTCCATTTCGTGTTCACAACAAAAGGAACATTTAGGTTAGCGGTGTCGCCCATGTAGAGCAGCAGGAGGCAGGACATGACGTATAAGGTTCTGCTGCATGAAGCACATGTTTTTGTTTACATGCAGCTCCTCTGGCAAATTTCAGGTACAATGTCTAGAGTTCAGTGCATGTCTGAAGCGAACTGCTGTCCTGTTTCTCACACATCCTTCATGGTTTGCACTGGTGTCTTTTAAAGCACTTGTATGTTTATGCATGTGCCCAGATTTGTGCAAAAATATCTAAAGCACAGACCTAAGAGGATTTATGTCCCAAGCTATGAGGATGAAACTGTTTTTACAATCAAAACATATCTTTGTTAGTATTCCAGCTGTCAGCACCAACCTGTTTAACATCAACTATACTGCTGCTTAAATGTTTTTCCTTTCTCTGTCACTAGCAGTAAAGTAATGATTCCTCCTGCTCTCGTTAAAGCTCAACCGGTGACCCTAAAGAATGTTCTGCGAGACGATGAAACTTTCTCCACACACCTGAAAGAGAACTTGTCGGTCCCACCAGCAGTTGTTGAAAGCCTCTTAAATGCTACAATGAACCTCAACCCAGTGAGTATCATTTCAAAACCTTCAATCCCATCTACTTTAAAACATGATTTTCTAACTTCTGCCAATAAAGGAATTAAAAAGCTATCACAACTTTCTAGAGACTAAATGTGCTAAGAGTATTCCGACGTGAACATTTCAGAATAAAATGTCCTAGACCAGAGCTGCCTCTGTCACTCTTTATCTTGACAGTATGGGAATTTGAAGATCTCTACATTAGGTGATTTGGAATAAAAATAAATTGCAACAGCAACAAGAGATACAAGTATCTTCTCTCTCAAAGTAATATCTGAGGAGCTGCGAGAAGGGAATTATGTTTTACTGACTGATTGGCAAAGATGTTTAAATGTAGTGTGAGCTGATTAAAGCTGCCTGACTGGGAATGAGGCACTGTGATGGTTGCAGGAGCTCCTGGTGCAAAGTGTCATATTTGTCCTGAAAGTAAAGGTGCCCTCTATACTGTTGTTCGCAAGCCATTATCTGTCCTCTGCCTGTGTATCCCATCATGCTCAGTGACACTGTGTACTGTCTGGTATGTCACAAATCAACTATATATACAACTGTGTGTGTGGGCGAAAATGTGTCTGTCTTTTCACTGTTGTGTTGTCTCACTGTGGTGTTTGTGTGTATGTTCAGAATGACATTATGTAGAAGAACATTATTCAAGAAAAATAAGGTTAAATTAGAGTAAAATGCTTTATATGTGATCTTGAAACTTAATTTAGAATAGATTATTAAATATGGTCCCATGCAAAGTGTGCGTGTCTACTTAAACCGATGTTTCTCTTCCAGGCACTGGGCATCCCACGACCAGGCAACCTGAGGACGATCCTGTGCGAGGGGACCGGTCTGGATGAGTACGTCCAATTTAGCAGCCAAGCTGAGAAGGAGGCTTTTCAAAATGTCAGCTGCTCCCTCACTCAACAGCAGCTGATTAACACCCAGCAAGTGCTCCGGCAAAACCTGGATGTGAGGAAAATTCTGTCTGAGGTGAGCTTTTCACGCTGCCCCTCCACAATGTGAATAAGTCTCCGAACTTGGAGGAAATCGAAGCGAGTGGCTCTCAGTCTGGCCTCATTTAGACGGTATTAAAACTGTACATTTCAAAGATTTGTGGTAATTCAACAACCTCTGTTGCAACTAAGGAACAAACGTGGAAATAAATTACAATTACACTGAACTTATTGGTCATTTGGCTCATCCTCCCACTTCACACTGCAGAGTTGGTGTTTACCATCGCTCTCTCTTGGGTCCAGATGTGGTGAAGGCAAATTACCAGATTGTGAAAACTCACATAAAACAAATAGACGATGGACCGCAGCCCTCAATTGTACATCCAGCGATTTGAATTTTCACACAGTGACGCAACGAGTCACAGAGAAATATGAAGAGTTCTGAAGTCACAGATGGTGTCGAGCAGCAGAGAACAATGTTGGCCCTCCAGCTGGTTAACTGCCTGTGTGGCCATCGGAACTCAAATCCTAATTTTGCAGCATCAGTGATACAGAAACATATATTTCCGTGTTGCACAGCTTTATATTTCCTTAATGCTGGTACTTCATGTTTGCAGATTATTATTTTTTTCCAAACTACCCACTAGCCTCTGTATGCACTCCAGCCAGGGATTATGTTTTCTACACATGCTGTCGTGGTTAAGTTTTGTACAATCATACTTTCTTGTATTTCCTCGACACCAAATTCAGCAGCTCTGCGCAGGTTTTTAAAACGCAGGTAAACCAGAAGATTGAATCCTTTCCCAGTTCCAGCTGAGGAAGTTTGCCTTTCTGTTTTTTCCCGCTGGTGTGTCATGTTCCACATCAACGCACTAAAAAACTGAATGCCGGTTGTGTCTCCTCACACTGCAGACAAAAAAATGTATGTTTGTGTTTATGGGTTGGACCAGTGGAAAAGGGGCTTAGGATGAAAAGCCAAATGGTTTGGCTGTGTTGCCCACCTATTGTGGCTGAAATTGATGTTTAGGTCTAACATATAGTTCAGTGTGATTTCATGAACTTTACATGTGTAAATTAAATGCGACGGTGTTGAGGGTTTTTGTTTTTTCCTGTTTACTTCCTCTATTTGGCATTTTCTGTGTGGAACTGTGTGATACTTAGTTTTACCCCAAATTGAGAAATAAATAAAGAGAAGATAAGGATTATATTTAACACGGATATTCAATCAATTACATGCTTAAGGGTGAAACACACAGCTTTATGTTTTTATAAAGATTCCAGGCAAATGGTCTCTACTCTAACTCAGTAAATTGAAAGCAAAGACAATGATTTTTAGTGCCAGCCAATTAGATAACCACTTGAAAAGTTAAATGTCATGCTTGTCTGGTTCTGTGACGTAGAGAGATGAAGAAATATCTATATAAAGTTAAAGCTAGATAAATGCACTCACTTTTAAGGACAAATCTACCACTAAGACATGACAATGGATAAAGCTTTATTCCTGCACAATTATCTTGATGTTATTTACTCCTCTGATTTAAAGTGAGAAGTTATCGTATGTCCCATAGGATCTAAGCTTTCAAAACTGTCATGTGCACATCTGTTTTATTCTTTCTTTTTGAATTCTTTAAACTCTCAGTACCATTTGGGATTATGAAAGCATGCACTTTTCTTTGAGTTTATCGTAGAGAAAAATATATGGGACAGCAAATCCAATAAATAAATGATAAGGCAGAAGGTTCGTAGGAGAGAGCATCTGAACAATTTAAACCCACAGGCGTATTCAGACACAGAAAATAAAGAGAAAGCCCCCACACAAGATATGGTGAAAAAGCTCTGCAGCGCCTCAAGCAAATGGATGGAGAAAAAAAAAATACAAGCCTCCACACTTAAAGCTTGACATTGCTGAATGATTGCGATAACAACAGCATATAAAGAAAAGGACAAGGGAGGAAGTCAGGGTTTATCAGTGGAGTTGTGAGTGGCAGAGGATGATTAAGACATTGGTTCCTGTTCTTTTGGTTTCCTGAAAATAATTTAAGAACACAATTCTCCTGATTTCGCTGCAAAACAAAATGCTTTTGATTGATGTAAGAGAGGTTATGTTTTCAGCTTCGCTCGTTTGTTTGTTTGTTAATCAGGATTACCCCCAAAACTTCAGACCCCACCCATTTCCATGAAAGGAGTGGAAGATGACCCAAGTAAATACCAAGTACATTTTGCAGTAGATCTGAATAAATGATATAGGATTTTATTTTTTTACTTTCTTTGCAGCGTTTCCCACAGAACAACAGTAGTGCAGTGGTTTACTAGTAGTAGGGGGGCACATGCATTCTGCACTCTGATTCTGAGTGACGAGTGCACTGACTAAAGAGAAGTTCTGGCGTACTGCATTGAAGGGCATTTGTGGGTACATGAGCAACTGCAGCTGAAACTTTGAGATCTTACTGTTTGTGTGGACATTAACCACTTTATGGGTGATTGCAGTGTGTGTGTAACTATGACTGCAAACAACTATACAGTGTGTCAGTGGAGTAAAACACACAAGTTAGAGACTTCATATGTATGAGAAGTGAACACATTTTTCTTTGGTTCATTCAAAAACTGTGGGACAAAATAGAATATGGCAGGTCACCACAGTTTAGATAATTAATGGAAATCACTGCTTTGACAAGGGCATTAGCTTTGGAGGAGGTATCTGCTCTCTGAGGGCCCTTGTAGTTTTAGTCTGTCTTAAATAGAATAATCTTCGGTTCTCAATGGGTCAACTAATCTAAAATAATTTTTTGGGGGAAAACTTGTATCCAAAGAATAATGGCATGAAGAATCCAGGTCCAGGTCTTTATGTAAATGGTCTTGAGCCTTTAATGTACACCAACGCGTATCGGTGGTTTGAGGGACACCAGTAGTGTGTCACCTCTTTCTTTTAAATCTAAAAAAACGTAGTATGATAGTATCAGCTTACTTGGTAAAAAAGTAAAAAAAAAAAACAACCACTTGTGACATCCATGGCAAAGCGCTGTGGGGATTGAGTTTAACAAATGATGATGAGAAACTTTATTTATTTATTTTTTTTATGCCGTGGCTCACTTTACTTGCTCTCGTTCTAATGGGACAGAGTAACAACGCTGGAATCTCTCCCTCCATTGATCTCACTGGTGATTTTTCTCTGCGATGCCTCTGCTTTCTCACTCGGTCTCCTCTCCACGTCTGCCCTGAACACAAGTGGCCCTAAATTAATGTACTTGAGACTCCATCAGTTGCAGGGCCACTCCACACTATAGACTTGAACTGGCTTCTATTTCTGAAAAGAGTTTTATTTTACAAATAATAATGCAGTGTCACCACAACACTCTATACTTCTCTTTACGCGGCTCTCAGCCCTCTGATCTACCCACTTGCTTACAGTTCAAAGCTTTGTAATGTAATATGCTGAAAGACAATATGCCTGCTACTTACACAGCCTATTCAACACTGGTTGAAACGATGTGTCATTTACTTTTGTAATTAATTGTAAATACCAAGGGTGATGGTGGGATACACAACAAAATCTCAAAACGTACATACACATACATATTTAAGGAATATGAAGGCACAGTTTAAATCTT